TGGTTTTGTGTTACTCATCTCCATCATGGATACCGCTTCACATTACACTGTCCTAATTCAGCAACTCGGTGAATTAGAGGAATTAACCTGAACACATTTAGCTGTAACCCTGCAGTCTATGTAGCAGATTTGGATTGCTTGGCTTTAAGCTCAAACAATATGTTTCTCCAGAGCTGTAAATAGGAACCGAGCAGCCATGCTGATGATTTAAATGCTGTATCAACAGGGACAGTGGACAGCAAGTCTGAGGCCTTTCTCAAAACATTAAGGTTAAGAAAAACCAACACAAGTGCATTAGGCTGGAGAATTCATGAGGCAAATCATCTGTGCAGATGGGAATTTTTTGTAGAAATATTTGCAGAATTAATTTAAATTTCTAGTGGCTTCCAACCCCCACCTCCCCAAGAACCCTGAGCACTCTAAACACAATAAAACTGTTCTTCACCATATTTAAAGCACTATGGTAAAACTCTAGTGCATGCTCTTGCAGCAATTTTCTGCTATTTTAGACTCAACTTTATATTGCTACACATTCTGAAGATCTCTCCTCACAGCATATACAACCCATTATAGCATTTTGTTTATAAACAAGACTAAACAGAGCCAATCTCTCACAGCCTTACTTTACACATAATTAAATGCTCTATAATTTAACTATAGTCATGCAAGTGACGCACAGTACCATCTACGTTACCTTGGACATGGGCCAGATGGCTTCCCTCCCACGTCACACTGCATCTATGCTAGAAGTAAATATTCAAGGGTAAAACCAGGGAAAAATACTTGCATCCTTAGTTCCCAAAAGGGACCCTGGGCTAGTAGCAATAAGGCATAGGATGAACAGCACCACATACCGCTATCTAGATTAAAAGATTTTACTTTCTTATCAGCTAGCAAGAAGTTCACCTATTTTGTTTCCTTTTACTATATCACTTTCTCTTGTATCTCAGCAAAACAACCCAGCCTGAAGACATACCTTACCATATTAGGCAATCTGAGTCCAGAAAGTGGAGGACTCGGAGCCTTCCTTAGCTTAAAAAGACAGTCCACAGGCACAGTAACAGCCTGCACAGTGCCACACTTCACTGCGCTGCACTGGGGAAAGAGGGAATAGAACACTGGGATCCAGGGCAGTTGCTGGAACTCCTGGGGCTCCAAATACATGCAGTCTGGCTATGACGGGCAAGTCACAAAACATTAACTAAAGCTATTTCTGATCTTTTAGTTGTTTATCAAATCCATCTTTTAAGAAAGGCAAACAGCATGAGTACAAAAGTTAAATTGGAAGGTTCTGTGGAAGATAAAATGCCACTAAAACCAAAAATATAGGTGAGAAATAGAATATACCAAAATCAGGACTCCCAAATTGTAACTCTGAAACAGCTACAACATTACGACATTTAGTTCGAATAAGGAATTTTGCAGTTCATTGATCTTCCCTTAGAATTCATGGAATTAAGAAGTTCAGTCCTTCTAAGACAAGAGATTTAGTTTTTGTTAGTACCCAGTTGCTTCTGGTGATTTCATGTTAATAGTACAATTAGGCAGAACACGTACTATTTACAAAACAGAGTGGGTTTGAATGGTGTTTTGCAGAATTTAACTCATGTTTTGTAAATCCAAGTAGAAGGAGACCAGAATGGAGCCTATTTATTGTGATCATAATCCATAGTCATACATTTCAGTGTTATTCCTACATAAAAGTTAATGTCATTAATGTGTCTGGGTTTTATATTGTGCTGTACAGACTGTCCTAAAAGAAGTTTATGAGAACAGATGTTTTCTTTGACATTTTTACTGCCCAGAAATTGTTACTTTCCCAACATGACACTTGGTGCATTCCCCTGTATTTAAAGCTTTCCCTTGATGAACTATCTAACACATGGGTGAGGCACATTTGTAATACCACTAAAGAGAAATGGAAGGAGATAAAATTCTTTAAATGATTACAAAAATTTTTCTACTTCTGTTACATATGGTGCGTCATTTAAAATACACATTTCTTCCAAATTTATTCCCAATTTCTCCTGCTGTGTAACAGCAATGGCAGAAGTCAGGTATAAGTCAAAGACAGAAGTGCCTGGGATAAGGAAAACGCTCTCCTAAATGTAGCATCGGACCATTCTCTTTAGTCACATAATTATCCTTCAAATGCTGCATCCCAAACTAGAGCCACTGATTTGCATCTGCACTGACTGTAGCGTATTTGTACTCGCTGCCCACCCCCCGACTGAATCCTTGCTGACACTTCACAGTCACTGTCTCGCAGGGAGGAGAGGTTTCCTAATGCCAGCTGACACACACTGCTCAGCCTGGCACTGCTAACAGGATCTTTCAGACTCTTGCAAATTTTTACTTTCTGAGAAACGGAGACTAGACTGTGGCCAAACTTTTTTCTCCATCTCTGGTTTGAGCTCAGGTCTCCCCAGACTGAACAAATCCTTCCCAGTAGAACTACACAAAAAACCTCTCCTAAAGCTGCTTCCCCAGAGGCTTTTTCCAGCTTTAGTCCTTGTGCCCTTGAACATTTATTCCACAATAAAACTTTGTCTGCTCTTCCAACTTTCCACAACGCATCCAAGCAGTCTGCATCGCAAGGAAAAAGGCGGGGTTGGTAGCAAAACATATGAAGGTTGCCTGACACATCCCATTACAAGACTGCTCGCAGTTGCCTAAAACTCAGCCAAAGTGTCTGGGCTGGTTTCCCATGCTGGTGCTCATAAGTTTCAGCCAAAATAATGAATCCACTTCTGAGAATTAGAACAACATGTATTTGCTCCTTCTTCAAAAATTGCATCTACCTTTCCTTTGCTGAACTCCAGTATTGCGTAGTTTGGAGGAGGGAATTCAAGTAGGGCCTTTTTTGGCTCCCATAAAAATTTTCCTAATATCAGCCAAGATATAAAAACCGGAGGAAAAAAATAACTGCTCACATAAAATCAGGAGAGTCTTTGGGGGTCTGCAACTAAAATGGGACACTTCAGTGTATTCAAGTTCACAACTCTGATGCTGGCACCTGCCATTCTAGAATGATTACTACTATTGATGAATTAATGATTATTAATTGTACTTCATGCTTGGTACTACAATGTGATTCTTGCCAAAATGATGGCCAGTTAGCAGGACAGAAATCTCTCTGATTTGGTTGTAAAATAAACCAGGGAAGACTGACCAAGTGACATGATGCTGAAGGCATGCAGTAAAGAAAATGAACTGCTGATTGGATAAAAACAAGGACTGGGAGAATGAGAAAAGCAACACCAGCAGAGTGGAAGGAGAGTCTAAACCAGGGTCTAATCTACGTGAGGTGTGTAAGAAAACAGGGGCCAACTGCCACAAAGCATGTGTGAAAAGGGGCCAAGGGAACAGAAGGAAAGTTGCTCTGCTATTAGATGGGAACCCACAAGAAAATCATGGGAAGTATAAGACTTCCTTGCTATTAATTTGGGGAAAACCAGCATCATTAATTATAAGTGACTGAGTGACCCTGAATTTTTGGGCAGGAACATATGGTGGGTTCTTACGAAGAAGGTTTACCCATTTACAAAAGCAGTGAAGACTGTGCTCAATAAGAGTTTTCATCAATTTTTAGGACTACGCTCTAGGAAGCCTCCAAACCTTCAGCCTCAGATACTCTTTTGTCTTAATTTAACTAATCTGGGACCATTTCCCAGAAGAACAAGACATTCCCAGCAAGTCCAAAACACAACTGCTGGAAACAAGGTGTCCCTATTATTATTGTTTTTTACATATTACAAATACTCCTCCTTCAGTCTTACTGTGAGACAGCAGAAACGTCAAAACAATTTTAAGAATGATAAATGGCTGAAGCTTTCATGCAGGGTGAAGCGGAAGGTTTAAGCTGTGTACCATTATGAACAGAAATTCCTGGGGGAAGACCCAGGCTACTCGAAGCAGGTGGTGCTTCTGTGGGAAGGAATATCCCACATTTCACATTGCAAAGTAAGCACTGGGAAAGCAAAGGCTGGCACTGAAAGATGAGCACATGCCAAGAACCATCCCAGCACTGCATGAGCCTCTGACTCCCACAAGGCTCACCGTGACTTTGCCCCATTTTGACTGACTATTGCAAAAAGAAAAATAAAAACATACTCTGAAGAACGTTACTGAAAATTTTCAGCAAAGAATCAGTTAATTTTAACAAAATGATGCTTCAATCACTCTACTGAATTGCAAAGCATGTGGAAAGGCTACCCCAAGTTCAACGCTTTCTGGCAAAGATTAAACATCACACAGGCAGGCTGACCCCTATGTAACCTTGAATTTGCTGGTTTTCCTAGGTTTCGCACATCATGCTTTAATAGTTTGGAAACATATTTAGCTTTAACATTGTCAGAGTAAGTCATGTTGTCAGGCTCAAATGTGTTTTAGACAGACATAACCAAAAGAAACCAAGGCAATTTGGAAGGGCTCAATAATTATTGTAAAAGGAAAGAAAGGGCCTTGAAGGATAATGAGGCTATTGCAAGAACAGGGGAACATCGAACAATCTCTGATGTGTTGCTTGCCAAGCCAATTTCCCGCAAGAAAACAAATCCACAAGGAGACAAGAGCACACTTTTTAGAAATATAAAGCATACTGTCCAAAATAACAGCGTCAGGGTGACTGAGATACAAGGTCAGGCGCCTTGCTCGGGACCCCTGACAGCCATGCTCCCCAGCCCTCGCAGCTTCTGACAGCGCTCTCAGTAAGGCGCTCACCCCTGCTTCTGCGGCAGTCCCTCCAGGTTTCAGAGCTGCCTATATATACAGCTTCTGAAGAGCCAGCTTTTGATCTTAGTCCAATCTGAAGATACTCTTTATCTTTCAGATGAGAAATCAGTAAGCAATTTCCTACTTGGAACTACCTCCCAGTTTATACTCAACTCCTGAACAGAGCCTGAACCTCTCATATAAACAAAAGTAAAGCCACAGAAGACTTCTTGCCACCAGCACTCACGAGTGAAACATCAACTATTCAGACATACGTTTTCACTTACCCGAGTTTCCTTCACTTCCTCATTTCCATCAACTTCATCATCATCCTAGGATGGAAAACAATATAAGTAGGCAGCCTTGGAGACAACAAAATTTTAACACAAGAAGATAACTTGTTGATTATGATTTGATGCTAAAGCTAAATACACTTCTGTTGAAAGAAATGCCTGTTGAGATGCTTTTGGCTGATTATCAGATCAGGTTTGGTAACCTAACTGCCATTTAGATGGGGGACAGAATTACTCTCTTGAGATGGCTACTGCAATTTGAACGCTCCTGAAGAGTCAGAAGGAGAAGGGGTAACATGCCTTAATATACTTACATATTATAACATATAATATGCTGTGACACTTGGGAAGACTGCACATCTGAAATGCTGACGTAATATTGACTCTCAAAGAATATCCACCACTTCAGTTAGACTCCAGGAGGAAACACTAGTCATCCCAGATTGTGCTTATGCAGCCTCTCTGTTACCCACTGCCCCTTTGTAACAGCTCCAGGATTTCATGGAGCAATGATAAACTACCATGGCATCACATCTGATTCCATATTGAATTCAAGGTATTTCAAAAGCTGTAGCTGCAGTTTCATATAGACACAACAGGAAAATGAACTAAAACTCTGAAAAGCAATTTGCCTTCTGCTCCTGAAGCTAGTAATACTGCTACAATGATCCAGTAGACAACTGGGCAAACTGTAAAGTGTTTAACTAAAAAAAATGGTAAGAAAAAAATAAATCACATTCGGCATGCAAGTGAAAAAAAAATGTAAGAATCGTTGGCAAATAATAAAAAGGGGGTGTTTGCAGCAAGTCTTTCAATAGAAATTCTGAGGTTTCCAGCAGGACCATTCAATTTGTCTGTAACTCCAAATATTCAACATATATACTGTTGCCACAGGGAAGACCACTGAGGTTTTTTTCATTGTATTGTGCAGGAAGCCTCTACCCCTGAGGTATATGAGGAAAGCTGTATGTCCATAGCTAGACTAGAATTGTTGTAGGCTTCTTAACCACAATTTCATAATTCGCATTCTCTCCTGAAAAAGGTGATCTATTTTCCTACCTGAGTCTCTAACCAAGGTTTTGAGGGCTGGATTTCTTCCCTCAGACTGAAGAAATCCTTTTGAAACCAGGATTAAGAGAAATGACCACAACACAAACAACTCTTCTGCATTTATGCTGTGTGCTCTCTGGTGTTGGGTAGGGGATCCAGACACAGGTTTTATTCCTCACTGTCTTCCTTTTAGGTGGCCTAAAGTGTAGCCAAATTTGGGCTCAGAGGAATTTGAAAATACTTCCAGTGGCTCATGATCTCCTTCTTCCAAAGAAACTAGATTTCTAATCTCTCTTCTCCCTTGTGGGCTCTCTTTTCACAATTCTGCAACAATCTCACTGATTTATGGCTCAAGAACAGGCTTCCCACAGGCTGCCTGCTTGCGTTTTACAGAGGTCAAACAGGGATGCCATTCCTTTGGAAGTACCAGTCTGAAATAGAGTTGGAGAGGGAAGGACTAATGGGAAATGGACTGATTTGTAAAAAAAATATAAAGCTTGGAACTGGAAGGAAATTCACCCTGAGTATTACAGCATGAGTTTCTCTTCTCTGAGGAGCTCAAACTTACATCATTCGTTGAGAAAATGATGCCAGTGCCTCTTCGCCTCTCCTTTGGCCGCCGCCTCTCTCGGATTGACTGTTTGTTTGGAGATCTGTCATCTAAATCCTGATCTTCACATTCTGGCCAAGCAAAGAAAGACTGCTTTGGTTTCAGTGATTTACATCTGCGCTTTTGCTAAGGTACTGCGGTTCTTTTCAAGCTGATCAAGGTCATCTTGGCTTGTGTTCTATTACAAAGGAGTTATTAAACCAAACGAAATGGAATCTCAGTGCCCTACTACACCTGGTTACTCACACTCCTTCCTTTATCAGACCCCAGAGAGGTTACCCTAGCTGTCAGCTCTCCCCAAATCATCCTGATTTACACCTATTCTGAGCACAAACTGTTCTAGTGGAATCGCTCCTCCCAGCTCTAAGATCTAAACGTTTCATGGATTACTATCTCATTTATTTATTCAAAATGGAAAACATAATTTTACCCCTCTCTTTTACATGCATTAGGCTGTGTATCCTACATTAGGATTTCCATTCAAACAAATAACATCTGTTTGGTGAGACAGCAGCTCTCCATACTGCTCTCCTCAGATCAACAAGTAAACTTTCAGAACTTTGTACAGACAGAGAGAATAATTAATGAAATTCCCTGCGTTTTGACTGTTCTTCATTCTCCTGAGTACATACCATTTTTTTCCATTTCTGTGGTTGCACCTCTGAAATCTGCTGGATTCACAGAGTCAAGACCTAGATACTTATTTGTTCGAGTCAGGTATGAACTTGTGTAAAGGAGAGGTGCTGATGTTGAAGGAGATACAGGTGTTGTAGGTTTGTCTGGCTGTACTGGGCACCTTAATCGCCGATAGACAGTCTACAAACAAAGAACGATGACAAAAAGTTAGCGGAATGAAGAGGAACTAACAGACTCGGGATTTCAGCGAACTGAGTAATCTTTTAGAGTGTAACGTTTTCTTCCCTGCTGCTGGAAGTGATGCCCTTCATTTGCCAGATCAGGTTCATTCCATCAGATGTGGATGAATGTTAAAAGCGTTGTACAGCTACAATGTGAGAGCACCTTCCCATTGGTGGGAAGTCTGGGATCAATCTCTTTGTCCCTACAGCCAATGGCAGAACGAACAAGTTATCTAGCAGGACTGAATGATCTAGAGTGAAAAACCAGAAGTGATGGCAGGGGGAGAAACCTGGTCTCTAGCTTTCCATTACACACAGAACATCTGTGGAAAAATGTGAACACAAAGCCTCAGTCCAGTCTGTGCAGTAAGGATGGATCCAGGCCACATTTCCATCATTAGCCTTCTCATTTCACTTTCTGTGATTTACAGAGTTTTATTTTCTGGCAAGAGACAGAAAATGAAATTCCCAGCGGAGAGCAAAGGAACAGCTAACCTTTAACACCTATGTGTCCACATCCCTTGTGCAGATCGCTGAGGTGAGGTACTACTCACCAGTATGACTTCTTTCCAGTAAGACTTCCCCCCTTAAAATAAACATATGTCCCCCAAAGAATTTCTCCTGATCTCAGCTATCCTAAATGGTTTCATTAACTCTGAAACAATGGGAAGTGAGGCTGGGAGGATCACCTCCTCATCTGCATTTCTGCTCCACCGTGACCGGGTCTCCTGCCTCTCACTGCTGTCCTCAGCAGGCTCAGTGCTCTCAGCTTTCTCGCTTTGTTGTTCCTGCGCTTGCCGCTCTGCCCGAGACCGGCTGAAGGTTCGCTCTGCCTCCTGAAGGTCTGTCAGTGTCACACCCTGGAGAGAAAGTAAGAGTGGGAATTTTAAAATTTATGCAATTAGGTTTCAAGTGTTTCGGGTCAGTTTAAAATGCCCAGCAGGCTTATATCTGGCCAGGCTAATGGTTCACCTTTATGCTAACAGAAAAAAAAAAAAATTCTGTTACCTTTAACACCTTTCTCAGTGTACCGACAACACCACTGACTCAAAGCAACCCAAATATATGTGACCAAGGTACAAACTAAAAGGCAGGTATACTGCAGAAATGAGAGCTTTGATATTTAACTCGTGTAGGCTTGGGGGAGTATTTTGTAATAACTGTTTGCAGGAACTTTTGCCAGAACCTCTCCAACAGTGTGAAGGTAGAAAACCCCCTCATCCTAAGTAATAATATACAATAAAATCCTGCCTCTCTATTCATCAGCTCTCTTCATCCTACACATGGAGTATTTCCACTCTTTACCTGTGTAGACCTGCGAGTCTGCCGGGCCTGCCTGGATCGTGCCTTCCTCAGTGATTCTGCTTCCTCATCCCGCACTGGAGTCAGATATGACCTGAAAAAAAAGGGCAGAAGAGGTTAAAATAAAAACAGATGCTCTGCCTTTCTGTCTCTGCAAGCTCTAGAGCTGAGATATTATTCTCTTTCATATGAGCAAAGATAATTTTAGCTCCATCTACCAACACTACTGTTGATGTCTGCTTTGGGACAACTTTCTTATGAACGCGGGACACACAAATGCTCTCATCACGTTCTCCCTAGAGTCTCTAAATAAACTCTTTAGTGTTGGACATGTTCTTTTAAAAAAGGTGCAACTATTCAGTGTATTATCTATTCCATTCCATGTCTTATTGCATCTTTAGGAAAAAAAATCCAAAACAACAAACCACCTCATTCAGATAAAGATCTCAAGAACTAAAAGCCTGCACCAGCACATTCCTCAGACCCTCCTTCCTGTCATATTCATGATCATATTCCTGCAATCTGATGTCCTCATCAATATGAAACCCATCATGCTAGAAACCAGCTGAACTGCAGGCATCTTATAAAGACAAAATATCTTAAAAAAAGCTATGAAATGAAAGAAACGACCTTCACACACTGGAGTAAGCCAAGTCCCTTAATACTGAAAACCACACAGTTATAATACAGAGCTGGTCACAACTACATTTCATTAAACTGGGGAGATTTATTCACATGAAAATACAGAAACTTAACTCTCTGCCCTGGGATTCACTATGGAGGAACTGAAGAGGATACCGGCAGTGTTTCTGCAAAGTTGGGGATAGTGCAGCAGTAAGTCTGATTTCCATATTGGTGGAGTGGCTTCCATCTTAGGAAAGATTAATTAGACTGGACTCTTCAGCCTGGTTAATAGGGAATTATCATTAACACTGTCTCACCATACAAGGATGAGGGTGCCTGAAATTAGATGTTCTTTTGTAGGTCTATCACTGCCACAGGTTGCCAAAGATCTAGGTACAGTCAAAGAATAATTAGTCAAGTGATGGATGAAGATCTAACAAGGAATACGCTTGTCTTTAGACTCTTTTCCTGGTTCTCCACTACAGACCACTTTCACACAAAAGGTAATGGCTTGAACAGATTTTGCACCTGATCCAGTTAAGTTATTTATTAGAAAGATTACTAACTTTGCTGCACTATGACAAAACCTCAAATAATCACAAAATCAGGATAATTCTAAAATTATCTACCATGATGGCTTTTATCCACCTTCATGATCTTGTGTTCAGCGGCTTGTGACGGGCAGGCAAATGCAGACTGACCTCCAGCACTCAGCAGAAACACATCACTTAATGGGGGGTTACTCAAACTATTTGGAGGTACATCCATGGGAGCCAGTCACCCGGCACTTCTTCAAGTGTTAGTAGGGCACATGTGAGAGTCTTCTCACCTAAAACTTGACCCAATAAATCATGCCCTGAACTCCCCTGATCTCCACAGAGTACAAGGGGAGTGCAAAGGATTGATCGTTGGTGCTGGAGACGCCTGCAGCGCAGGCTTCTGGAGGAGATGAATCATGCTCCGGGAGCTGGCTACAATGGAGATGTCTACACTGGAGCTGGCCAGGCTCGCTGAACTGCACTGCCAGGGTGCAATTTATCACCTTCAGAAAGAGCCTCCAGCACACATCATGTGAATGCATTACACAGGAGCTCATTTCTTCCCATTGATTATCCAGACAGACACACTAGCTGTGATGGATACGCCGGCACAGGAAGCGCCTAAAATTTAGAGGCATGATTGCCTCCCAAGAATTCACTGTTTCATGAACAAAAAACCTGCTGTTTGATGAGTGAAAGCTGTGTAACTCCTAATTTTGCAGACAAGCAGCTCTCTTCTGCTCTCCTTTATGCAGTGCATATGTGCCACCCAGGTAATGGCACACTAAGGAAACAATAAGCATTTTCTGCAGCTTTTGACACAAGTAGAATAGCTGCTATTTGCACAGCATCCAGAAGTAATAAGCCACCTACAGGAAGAACGCATTTGCAAAACAAACTGCAAATTAAGTTCAGAGCAGTAGTTAAAAAAAAAAAAAAAAAAAAAATAGTTCCCAAAACATATAAACCAAGTAAATCTGTAGCTAAGGTGGGCAGTTTACTGCAACAGTTTTGAATCAGTAGAATTTACATCTCATTCTGTAAGGAGGACGCAGGCCTGTAGGAGTTACATACAGACGATGGTAATAAGAGGAGGAAAGACGAGACCTGCCTTTTCCTGAGGAGGAATTCGGCTCATAGGACAGCACGTATGGAGTGGGCCACATTGTGCTTGTTCAGGAACACTGCTGGTTTGTGCGAGCAACAGAAGGTCACGCGTACAGCAGCTCAAGTACTTTTGCACACAACAGAAAATAATACTGCACTCCCCACCACTGGATGTGAGAGAGCACAAACAGATTTTTCAAAGTAGTTTCAGAAAAGGTTAGGTGAATCCGTGGAGAACAGGTCAGCATCAGCTACTAATCAAGGCTGGGCATGCTGCAGCTGAGCCGTGAGGGGGCTTTGCGGCAGGGTCAGGAGAGGTGGGTTTGCAGGAACACTGCAAGGCTGCAGGATTTCCCTCCTTGCAGTGTGTAGCTACAGCTTTGTGTACAGCAAGAGAAAAAACATTTTGTGTCTATTACCCCAACATGCTCCCAGGCTTTTTTCCTCTGCTCTCCCAGAATTTATGTAAAAATAGGACTATGTTAAAACATCATTAGCAATTTTGGGTGTCCAACCTGTAACAGTGACTTAATCTTCAGACAAGCACATTTTGCAAGTCAGAATGGCTCAGTTTGGGCTGCAGCCTTTATTGATTGCTAACTTTTGGTTTCTTTCCATTTACGCAATTCCCCACTTCTTGGAGCTCACCCAAAGCCATTTTACAAGCATGAGATAACTGAGTTTTCTGAAACAAGTCGGCAGAGCCACTGCACAGTGACATAGCTGGTTTCTCTGAGTAAGCAGCTACAGCCTTTTCCTAGTGATGAAAGAAGGCAGCTGTGCTGTAAATATTTCAAACGCAAACAGCAGACACCATACCTGCTGGCAATTCAATCATATTTTTGCTTTACTTGGGGTTTTTTTGTGTTTTGGTTTTATCTTTGGAGCTGGGGGACGGAGGGAAAAGACAGATTTTACAATTTTAGGTGATGCTTCACTTTGCTTACAAGCTGAATTTTAAGAGACCTGAATGTTCTAAATGGGATAGAAAAAAGAAAGAACAAATTCACTGAAAGGAGATGGCAAGTCTGATGCAGCCACAAAGCAAGGCTGGGTGGGATGACAGAGGGAGAGCAATACACTGCTCTCCAAAGCAGAAAAATTGCCGATCACAGCAAGCTGCAGGGGACAGACAGCAAATGGGGTATGAGGCAGTCTGTAAACAATCCACTGAGTTTTTAATTATGTTTTCAAGAAACACACTGCTTACTAAAGTGCAGTATCTATGTCATCCTATTAATTCAAGTAAATAACACATGATCCAAGCAAATCTTCAAAGAAACGGTCCTATGCGTTGTATTTTCTTGCAATAAGCTTTCTCTGAGAAATAGATGAAATAAGAGCAGCCATCATGCCAAGTTTAAGGCATGCATAAAGTAGAACAGTTTTTTCCCACTTTTGGTTGCAAGTACAAGCAGCAGAATATAAATTGTTAGAGATGCGTACGTGAGAGTCAGCAAAAACACTGCCGAAGTTTACAGTTCCCAGAGACAGAGACAAGTGTGGCCTGCTGCCACAAGAGTGCTACAAGCTTTTGATTTGTGCATTAGCTAGAAAAAAGCTGGGAACTGAATGATGAATCTGGCTCCCCGTTAATTGTTCCTGTTTTCAAGAAAACACCAATTTTCTCTGTTAGCGCTTTTAATCAGGACAGTGCAACACAAAGACGGATCCCAACTACTCATCACCATCTCAAGGCCAAAGGAGCTGCAATAACATACTAATAGACAGGGAGATTCAAAACAGGGAAATAGTGACCCTGAATATACAAACTGGTAAACCAAGAATACACAAGCAAATCTGTCTTAGCCAGAGGCAAAAAAAGAACATATTGTGGAGAGAAAACCCTCCCAAGTAAAGGGTGAACGATGCATAAAAAAGAAATTACAAACCCCTGTTAAGTGGTGCACAGATAACAAGAACAGACCATGAATTTCTTCAAGCAACACAGAAGCTTCTGATAATCTTTTTACAATGCTGGGCTCCTTTCCTGCCTTACTTGAACTCCTTCAAGCACTCAGAGATTGAAGTGTTTGTGGCAAACACCATCTACCACCACGCAGTCTTTTGGCACAACATCATCACCCAGTCCCCGAGGGACACCCAGAATGTGTAGAACTTGAAAGTTTTACATTTTCACAGTTCAGTGACGTAGCGCTGGAAAAGCACTCACCTACACGCGTCAAAACTCGGCAACAAATTTGGAAGCTAAACATTCATTAAATGCTACAGTTGCCCTCTTGTCAAAGTGGATTCGAGGCATTTCCTCTTGCTGTCAGCACACCAAAAACTGCGATACACACCCCCCCCCCATGAGCTCTAGTGGGCCATGACGGGTTCCTTCCATCCAACAAGCTCACGTTCCCGTGGGAAGCGCGGTAAGAATAGGGGTTGGCAGACAGTAACTACAGGGTGCCTGGTTTCTGCAGCCGCAGCACCGTTGGTCGTGAACTGGGGCTGTGCTTGATGCGGCTCTTCCCGAGGAAAGCTTGCCATGGGCACGAGCCGCTCCGCTGGCCCTCTCTGACTCATCTCAGCCCAAATTCTCTTTCTAGTTTAGGAGTGACTCTGCACTACACTCACTAGACTAGAAACTACAGTGAGAGTTTTCTTGGAAGTCGGGACAGATTTTGGGTTCTTCCAGATCTGGATAATACGGGTAAGGGGAGCCAGGGACAGGTTTGGCTTCCTGCACAGAAGGCACATTCAGCTTATGGAAAACCATACAGATATTCAGACTCTAAAATGTTTGAAATAGCTGTTAAGAGCACAATATCACTATTCAAAACTGCAGTATTTTTAAAAATATTTATCATGCATATAT